AGACGGACGGGCGGACGGACAGGGAGAAACAAGGAAAGAAGGCTCTTCCTTCTGGTCATTGTGGGTTTTTCGGGCTTTTTGGCCATGTTCTGAAGGTTTTTCCTAACGTTTCACCAGTCTCTGTGGCTGGCATCTTCAGAGGACAGGAGTGGCATTCCTGTCCTCTCCAGGTGCTCAGAGCATGGACAGAGTTCCTTCTCCAGTCCTCTGAAGATGCCGGCCACAGAAACTGGCGAAACGTCAGGAAGAACAACCTTCAGAACACGTCCAAAGAGCCTGAAAAACCCACAACATCCATTAGATCCCGGCCATGAAAGCCTTCACTCTTTGTTCTGTTTTTCTTTTGGTCTAACCACAACAGAAGCCCAGTTTGTCAGCCCACACTAAGGCAATTAAAAAATAACTTTTAAAAAAATTCCAGACGATGTCACACAAGTACAGTCTAACAACTGAGGCAGGTCCCCTCTGGAGATAACACACCCCAGCTGTTTTCTGCCCTGGCTCAAAGACATGCCTCCTACTAAGTCCAAGCCTCCCAGAGTCTAATGAGCCATCAATGGGGCTAAAAGGGCTTTCCTGCCATTGAAACGCAATCACCATCCCAGCTGAACTGTGAGCAGAGGAAGGGAGACGGCGACAGCGATGCAGATGAATAAGCCATTCCATTCTTCTGCCTCGCTTCCTTCTGGCTCTTCACCTACCAAGGCAAGCTCCTTCTTTAGATGTTGGAATGCTTCCCCATCACAGCCGTCCTCCCCACAAGATCTGTGCAACATTCCAGGGAGCTGATGTATAAGATGCAGGAGGGAAGCGGCCGCCACCCTGAATGGCGAGGTTTCCAATGAAATCTCTCCCTGGGATGACCCCTTGGTGGACGGGTAGACATTCCAAGCCTGACTCAGCAGCTCCCCGCCCAGCAGTGCAGCAGGCCAGCCTTAAAACAGAGGAAACCACTGGACAGCTGGCAGCACAGCTGCACACCAGACCTGGGGCTTGAGCGGGGATGTTGCAGAAGGCATGAACTCCACTGACGCAGAAGAGCCTGAATGGGGGAAAGCCGACGGATTCCAAGCACGCCGGCTTTTCTTTGTCTTCCAGGTGCAAAGCTGGGGCCTTCGGCGCCCGACGATCACCACCCGTCTAACCAGAGCAATTCTAGGGAACCTATTCTGTAGAGATCAGCCGGCTGCAGAGTCTGGGCTGCGTCAAAACCTTCACATACCCAAGGGAAAAAAAAGGGGGGGATATAGAAGTGCTCTTTCATTTCCTCCACAGAAATGCACTGGTCTAGTGGGTGGATGAATCTGCAGCGTGATGGTCATTGATCACACCAGACGGCAGCAGGCATACACGAGGGGCACAGAGCGGGCTGCGTGGGACAAAGAACACTTCTTCCCTACGCTTTGGCCTTTAAATATGTTTTGAAATATGATTATTATTTTCATTGGAAAAGAATGAATTAAGGAAAAGAAAGGCAAGGAAAGGAGAGAGAGAGAGAGAAGAGGGAAGAACAGGCGAGAATACTTAAGATATAGCCATGATCTGCAGTTCTAAAATGATGATGATGATGATTACCTAGGCAAAATCTGGATCTGTTCCTTCTAAGCCTTGTTGCTGATCTGAAACCCCTCCCGCCTGGGGCAACTGCCACACTCTGACCAAAGTCCAGTGCAGCCACACCACCTTGTTTCCCACCGCTGGCCAGCCAGATGCCCCCCAAGGATGAAGGCAGTGTCCACTATTCTACTGTTGCCTCCCTCAAAACTCTTTGCAGAACCGGGTCAGGTTCTTTTAACATCAGAATAACAGACAACCTCTTTCCACCAGTTTCAAAAGCTCTTGCAGCAGATCCAGAGGCGCCCTGGAGACCACACACCCTGGCTCTGGAGCTCCCAAGTGCATTTATTTGCCTTTGCTTCGGCCCTGGCTGCTTGCCATGCAACTCTTTCCTCTCAATCCAAAGCCCCCCGTAGCTTCCACCTCGAACTCGTTCCCATCGGGTCAGGGAACGAGCGGCCAATGGATTGAGCAGGGCCACTGAGTCAGGTTAAATATTTGCCTACTCTCTCTCTCTCTCTCTCTCTCTCTGTGTCTCTCTCTCTGTGTGTGTGTGTGTGTGTGTGTGTGAGAGAGATGTGTGTGTGGAGCTTGCAAAGTGATTTATAGGCTGCCGGCTTGCCCTCCCCGCCTCACTGGCTTGATGTCCAAAGGAACAGTAGAAGGGAAGCCTACAGGTATGCAGAGAGAGAGAGAGGAGAGAGAGAGAGCAAGGAAAGCCTACAGGTATGCAGAGAGAGAGACAGAGAGAGAGAGAGAGAGAGAGAGAGAGATTGTACAAGATGAGAAATATCCAAAGGACATCCAAGGAAAAAGCACAGGAACAGACAGGAGAGGAAAAGCTACTAGGCGACATCTGAGAAGCATAATAGCAACCTAGAACAACTGGCACAAAGGAAGCATTAATGCAAACTTTAGTGTATTTTCGGATCCAATGCATACGTGGGCCCAGGTCTTAAGAATAGAGGGAGCCCCCTTCCACAGAACCAGATCCTTGGCCCTTTCGCGCTTCCATGGGGCACCCATGGCCAAGCCTCAACCCCCTACCTCTGGGCATTTCCTCTCCATCACTCTCGGGATGACATCTCTCACAGGGCAGAGGAACTCTATTCTGGAATCCTTGGGAAGACGGCCAAGGGGGGCTTTCGCGACAATCCTCCCAGCCGGCTGGATTCTGTGGTTGCAGCTGATGGACAGGGAGGAGTATTCAGCCCCCTGCGGGTGATGTCAAGCTGCCCGGAGGGCCATTTTCTGCCCCGGGTACCACGCTTGGGGTGGGGTCATGCAGAGAAGGTGCAAAATGGCCCTCCGGACAAATACGGGCAAGTGGCCAGAAGCCCCCTTCTGATTTGGAACCGATTTTTTTGTCATGTTGGGGGGAGCCATGGAGGGAGACGGCTTCCGACTTAAAAAGGTGGTTCCTGCTCCTCAAGATTTGCAGGAGGGGAAATTTTCTCAGGCCAAGGGGGTCTAGGGACAGGCCCTCCGGGGGGGGCCAGGCCTGCTCTCGGCCGACCCCTGCCAAGCTCTCCTGTTCAGGAGGCGGAAGGATGTGGGAAAGAGGGGCAGGCAGAGGTTTAGACGCCCGGAAGCCGTGGGGATTACGCAGGGCATTCACAGCTGGTTGGATCTCAATGTTTGCAAAAACAGAACAGCGCAAAGCCACCACGGCGGGTCTCCTGCTTTCTGACAACTCCAGCCTGCATTTTCTCTTCTGCGAAATCCAAACGTCCACCTGAGTGAGGCCTTGGGGTGGTTCAGAGAACCTTCCCCTCGCCTGCCTCGAAACGGGCCCCGTCAGCTAAGCCTCAATTTCTTCCCCGGACCGGCCATGTTCAAGCCCTACGCTCTTTAGTCAAACCAAGTGACCTCCGATGCGTCAGTTATTACAGAGGACAGCCCTTTGCTCTTGATGCTCAAGCGTTTCACGCAAGCACACAAAGGCTGCTTCCAATGTACACAAGCCGCCACCAGCACTTTAGCTCCTGCCTCCTACTGCACGCCCGATTGTTGCATTTTGGGTTTGAAGCTTTACATGCCGTCTGTAGTCTGAGTGACTGGGAGGGACTTTCGCCACCACCAGCAGTTTAACTCCTGCCTCATACTGCACACCCAAATGTTGCATTTTGGGTTTGCAGCTTTACATGCCATCTGTAGTCTGAGTGACTGGGAGGGACTTTCCCAAGCTTGGCTGATTGTCTGTCTGTCCAGTACTAAACAATCATTTCCTTCCAGCCCTTGAATTCAAAGAGAGCCCCACCTCTCTGATGATTGCTTTCCCCCTCTCTTTACTTTGTTGGTGGCAGTTGCTTGTTTGCTGTTGATCTGTTCAGTTTGTTGTTCAGTTTTGGGGAACTTCTGTTATTCTCCCCTGTAGATCTCTTTACTTCTGCTGTCTAGATAATGTTACCAGAAATTCAAAATTCTACAACACAAACCCTATTTAGCCTGATAAATAGTTAGTTGGGTTTATGGCACCTTGTCAAGACTTCAGCCAACAGACCTTAGGAATTTCTAGTTCATAGAGCCACTATGAAGGTGAGATCTGAAAGTCTGTTCTGTAACTGGTCCAGAATTCTAGCCCTGGTTCATTGCAGTCAGGCTTAATTCCAGCCAGAAAGATAAATTTAGAAATGCCAGTGATGAGATATTGCAGAGTGCTGCCAACTCTGTAGCATCCCGCACCCTGAGATTTCAGGGCCAACCAGGTTGTGGGTCTTTACTATGTCAGCTAACAATGGGGAGCAACAAGCACCCAAGCTTTAAAGACCTACATCCCTTTCTGCTCCTCCAGTGCTGCTGAAAAAA